AAACAAAAGAGAATTATACACAGTTTAAGAAACGGAACCCCCCTTTGAAAAATCCTGGATCCGCCACTGTATTTTTATCACGTATCTGGACCTTGATCAACCTGGAAGTTTAACCTTGATGGTTTGAATGTCATGTTTTAGGTTAATTCGAAAGGGATTATTTGCCAAACGAGATAAGTACGTAGATCTCTAAGTCTAAACAGTCTCGGTTATGACATGTTTGATTTTCCGGCGTAAATTTAACAAAAATATTCTAGCAAATAAATTCTTATTCCTAGTTTAAGTGTTGCATAACACATACCTAGCTTACGAAAACATGACATAAAACAGGAATATTGAACACATTGTTACCCGGGAAGAGTACCTCGGGTCTAGGTACCTATGTAGGTACCCGGCCCCTCCTCCACATAGGATCATTTTAATTGAAATGTTTGATACGGGAACAGGCGGTCCTTGGGATACTGTCTCATGTTCCAACGGAAAATATACACGATGTATCCTAACCTAAGGCCCGAGGGGATAGAGGAAGGCGGGAGGGGCAGGGTAAAAGGAGAGGAGAGGGGAGGGGACGGTAGGAAGGGAGAGAAAACGGCCCTCCCTCCCTTCCTCGATCCCCTCTTCGTTTCCCCCTCCCGTTGAGCCTGAATGTTTCCCTACGTCTCCTGTCTAAATTGGGTGGATTAGATGACAACGGTTTCACTCTTGCTTTAAACAAATCTAAAAAATTCCTAAACTTCTGTTGCATAAAAATATGACACTCTACAGCTGCTTACCAAAACACAACCAGGCATTTTGCATGAGACCATAAAGCCCTTGTCCAGTGTGGCCAGAGTTTTCATCGCATGGAGCTCGATTGGAAGACTGAGAACAAATAGAAATTTATCGATATTCTAGCCTGCGTTGCATCTGGCGATAATCAGGATTGTGTTCCTTCCCAACCCCTCGGCACTATCTCCTCCGAAATCCTCTGCACATCCTTTTTTATTATTTAAGGTGGCTGCCTACTTTTGAATGTTCGATGTACGATGATGTGTGCGCACTCAAACCGTTGAACAAGCTACAAGATTTTATTGAAGAACCATACAGAACCATACGTGTTTTGAGCTTCAACGGGGCAAAACCCTCAAATTTTGCACGGGACTCTATTTCTTAATAGCTCATTCGAAAAAACTCCTAAAAATCTAGGTTATATCAATATTTTAGGAAAAGTTTAAATCAGTAACACATGAAAAAATAGATTTTTGTAGGGATTTTTGTTTGACTTTAAGAGATTTTTTAAGAGCACCGAAACTACAAAATATGACAAATCAATGTATCTCTTTGTCTTTTTGTCGAAATTATCCATGTATTATTGTAGAATGATTGACTAGCCTTCATTCGTGCAATCATAGAGTCTGCAAATAACTATTATCTTATGAATATTAATTTTTTTCTAATCAATTCCGGTGTCGCAATTTTTACTCCAAAAGCTCGTGCGTAGGCTCCCATTAAATGCTGATTATTTTCGAAAACAAGCTCGGGACACCCAATTTACATATTAGAAGGAAAAAAACATATATATATATAGAAAAGGTATAATGGAAAAGAAAGTATATCTACAAAATCAATTAAGCGTTCTTTAGTACTCCATATAAATCTTTTGCCAGTGTTTATCAAATATTGTTGGACACTCAACTGACAGTTTCTGATTTTGCTTAAAAGTTAAATGTGGAGAACCACATAGAAAAAAGTTTACTTTATGGCTTTGAGCCTCGCGCTCTCTCTGGAACAGAGTATCTATTTTCACAATACATGAACAAAGTATGATTTACTGCGATCTTGCTCTGGAACAGGGTCTGAATTTCAGCGATTTTACTCTGGAACAGGGTCAGGGTTCAGTGGGCTCAGCGGCACATCCCTACCCTAAACGGGCAAGAGTACTCCCCGGGGCCTTGAGGCTCTCAAGGTCTCAAGGCCATTTGTGAAATCCATATCGTTTATTTTATCGACAAGTCATTCAAGATGACACCGGGCCGGAGATATCCCGCTGTTCCAAGACGGCTGGATGAGGTCACCGAGTGCTCCCTGGAGTGGCGGCCAGTAGTGGTTCCTTGAGTTGCGGCCAAGCGGCTGTGGGGGAGACTACCATTTAGTTTGTCTGACCTAAACACGAAGATCTTTGATATGGTGATATCTTTTTGTCGATTTAAAATAATCTAAATCAATATCACAGTTTAGTATGGAAAGGAATGTTGATTCTGATCATGAGCAAAAATCGGAAGACAGGATAGATGGCAAAACTACTGTTTACTGTCGTACGAAACTGCTCGATTCTCGAGGCACTCCTGACAGTGTTTGGTCCTTCTTGGTGCTTCTTGCTGGTTTTGTATCAGTTTCAATTGTCAACGGTTGTCTTTACAGCTTTGGTGTTTTGCTACCTGAACTGATGGACGAATTTCAAGAGACTAGAGCCAGAACAGGTATGGTAGCGCGTCAACTGAAACTCGATCGAATTCCTTTCCATGCAGCTTATTGTTTATTACTTCAGCATATTTTTTCAAAGCAAATTTCCTTCAAAAAAAAAAAAAAAAATATCCCCCGCCCCTCCCCGAACTAAGCCCATCCAAATTAAGTACACTAAGCAAATACAAGCGCTCGGTGATAATTCTCTTAGTGTATAGAACGGTCTGAACCCAGGCGAATGAATGTTTATTGAAGCATATTAACTATGATTGAAGTAACAATCTTTTTAGAGTTTGTCTTTTGGTCGAGCTTGAGGGTAGAGGGTATTATGTCGAGACCGAGGGTATTAAGTCGAGGGTCGGACAGTACTATATTTCGAGGGTACGATTGGGTACGTACAGGCAATTCAAAAAATGTTGTCGTCGACCAACTCAAGCCTACGCGACTGGACCGAAAGGAACTCTGGGTAGTAATCATTGAAGCCGAGTTGACTACATAATTTTATCTGACTAGTTATGCCTGGTTTACAGCACGAACCTTCGTAKGCGAGCGGGAAGTGTTGAAGGAGACGTTTTTTTGATGCCTTCATATTTTCGAAATTGTGAACTGAATCATAACTACTTTATTTTTCTTTCCTTAAACCCAAAGACATGCATTTGATGGATCGTTTCTCGCTATTATTATCTTTACTACTAGCGGCAACAATTAATTCAGAATGAATATTTAACCGCTACAGTGATTTTTACCCATATTTCTTTCGGTCCAGTTGCGTAGGCTTGAGCCGGTCGACGACAACGTTTTTTGAATTGAATACGGTTTCAATGTTCGTAACGCTTTCCACTAGACAATTCCAAAGTCTACCGTTCAGAATAAGAATAACGCCCGAGCGAGTTTTGACGATGAAACATGGAAAATACGGAAGTTCCGGGAAGTTTGAGTATTGACAAAATATTTAACACAAGATTGTTCAAGATTGCCTTTAGTATTAAAAGTGAACCGACGAACGCTCGAAGAAGGAGGATTGTAGTTTTGGAGGGGGTGGGTTTAAAATATGATATGATTGAAACCATATACGTGACCTGTCATAACGTGATGACAAGTAACACGGTGCAGGTCAGCGTTTAAGCTACAAAGCTCTCTGCAGTTAGAAATAAATTAACTTTTATTTTACTTTTATCGTTTAAAAGAAAACACTTTTTCTGAATCTTGTGTACAATCGTACCCTCGACATAGTACTGTCCGACCCTCGACTTAGTACCCTCGACACTCGACATTCGACCAAAAGACTGTTTGATGTGACTGACGTTTCGACAACCTGAGCGGAAGTCATCTTCAGAGTGAAGTGAAGAGTATTCTTGGTTTTCACCTACGTCATCATGAATTTCAATAGCGCAAATTCGCATTATAATAAAATAAAAGTTTCATAATCTTGTAAAGCGGTCCAAACTACATATTCTGGCCAAATTTTAAGACTGTAAAGCATTTCGTTTCGGAACTATAGGCGAGTAAACATGACGCAATTGTTGGYTAAAATGTATGGAGCGGCCATCTTGGTGTTCCAACTTGGTACACCATCATGGCGGACGAAACCCCAAAGGCTTAAAATGATGGAATATTTAGTATGTTTGAATATATTTCACTTTAATATACTTTAAATAGATATTTTAAACGTGTCTAAGGGAAAATCCTTCAACTAGAGTAATTCATTTTAATATGTCGCTATTTAGATAGACATGACGGTATTGCGTGACACAAACTCAACCTTCATAACTCGGGAACCAAACATCGAAATGACTCGAGATTTTTTCTTGTGACTTATAACACTGACTTCTAAAACATACTTGAGAAATGCCTTTATACGATCTATAGTTTAGATTTTTATGTTTTGATGACGTCATGTGAAAACGGGCATATTGTGGCAGTATAAATTAGACCAACCTGACTATAGCGCTATGCGACGGATAAATCCTTATCCAGAGGATAAATCAATGCTGTTATCCAATAAATTTATAGCGCTATGATCCATGAACCCTTCGTACAACCGGGCCCAGAGATCACATGTCTTACAGCTAATTCATTTCTTTTGATATTTCAGCAACAGTAGGATCAATGGGAACATGTGTTGGATATGCCCTGAGTCCAGTAACTTCACTGTCAAGCGAACGATTTGGCTTTCGCGTCACTTCACTTGTTTTTACCTCATTACTTACTGTAGCACTAGCTGTAAGTTCTATCACACCCAGTCTCGCTCTGCTGTATTTTTCCTATGGTATTGTAGCTGGGACTGGGTATAGTGTTATTCATATCATTTCAGTGGTCGTGGTGATGAAGCACTTTGTCAAATGGAGGTCCTTGTCATCTGGTATCATTCAGTCTTCGTTTGGTGTTGGTATGCTGTTTGTATCTCAGACCACACAGAAACTTATTGATTGGTATGGATGGCGATGGGCTATGGGAGGATGGGCTATGCTGGCGTTCCTGTTGCTTCTTTGTGGGACTGTCTTCGATGGTCGAGAAAATAGCAATTTAACGAAGAAAAAATGGGATGGAAAGGAAATGTATCGAGTGGAAGTTAACGATGTTCCAACGAAAATATCAGTTCTGAAGAATTGGTCACTTCTTTTGTATTGTTTTTCATTTGCACTCTGTAACATGGTTTTCTATGTTCCAATTGTTTATATGGTAAGTGATAATAACTTAAACTCAATTATTGGATGAGGTTGAACACATTAACTTSACATAATAAATGTATGGTATCTGATTAAAAAACTAGGGACAATACATTTATCATATCGACTTTAATTTACATGGCGTCGTGCACAGAGAATTGGCTGAACGTGAGGAAAACCTTATCTGTGTTTTCTATCCTGTCGCACAATAGATAGATATTATTATCTTTATTATTAATCAGAATATTTTAAACATCTATATTTTTCTTTTCGTTGCAGGTCAAGTTTTCCGAAAAACATTTAAGCATCTCGCGTGACCATTCGGCACAGTTGTACATCTACTTTTCTGTGGTTGTTATATTCAGTCGAAATATTTACTGTACGATTGGAAGTCTAAGCTTCGTCAATCGGTTTTACTTGTACCAGTTTTCTGCTGCGTTCGCTGGACTGTCAGTCTTGCTGCTTCCATTTAGCTCGTCCTATATACACTTGATACTCTTTATGTCATGTTTGGGGCTGCTAGATGGAGGTATATGGGGCTTAGCGCCATTGTTAGTCATCGATGTTGCTGGGATCGAGAACCTGAACTTTTCTTGGGGAGTTTTTAATTCAGTCGTGTCTGTTGCATCCGTTTCGGGGCCTCCTCTGGCAGGTAAAACCTTTCCTCACATATTTATATTATTTTAAAATACTTATATTTTATGTTTAATTTATTGCGTCGGATCCAAGAATATCCCAGTATTCTGTTCAGAAGTACAACATCAAAAATACGAGCGTTATTTCTTACTGCGCATGCTCGTGATTTAGTCGAACATGTGCAGTAAGAAATAAGGGGTCTGGGTACGAAGTTTGTCTACAATTATGGAGCATGCGCAGACGTCCATTACTTAATTGGTTTGGCTAGCAGGACACTAAGGGATGGACTCTTAGATAATTGAGGGGGTGGTTGCAGGAATTTGTTGCACGATATCTTTTGTTGTTGTTGTAACAACCCCTTGGCGTTTGCTCAATATTTCTTTTCTTAAAGGAGATAGGCGAAGTGCTTGCTCGATTTTTTATCGAGAATTTACACAACCCCTCCCCCCAAATTATCTGAGTCCGTCCCTAAGAATTTCATTTTCAGTTTGAAATTGGAATATTAATAGAGACCCTCACCACGACGTTCTTGCTAGCCCCGCACTCAAACTGCTAGCGCGTTGTCTTTCACCGCTGTGAGTCCAACGGGTCGGGTCGCTGGTTTGAGCCCTGATGCGGTCGCCACATGTGAATTGAGTTTGTTTGATGCATCGTTCTCTCCTATGCTATGAGGGTTTTCTCTGGGTTCTCCGGTTTCCTCCCTCCGTAAAAATCGACATGTGAGTTGAGTGTTGCGTGCATAGAATATTGAATGAAGTGGTAGTGTGTGTGAGTGAAAAGTGTCCCCAATTAGTCTGAACGACACTTAAATAAAGATGTTTATCTTTTTTTTTTTCGACGTCGATAAATGTTCGAAGTTGTCGTTGGAAGAGCCGCTATATTGAATTTAATTTATGTTTGAGTACCTCTACGTGTTTAACGGCGTGATTCTACTGAAGGACTCTAATGTTACGCCCTAATGTTACACCCAAATTGAAAGCGTCCAGTTATTTGGAGTTTCCTTCCACAGTTTTGTGCTCCAGGGTTTTAACATTCTTTCTTTTATTAAAGGTTTCATAGCTGACAAGTGTGATTCATACGATCCAGCTTTTTACGCGAGCGGCGTGACGCTCATTGTTGCTTCTTTGTTGATGTTCCTGAGAAAATGGGCTCAGAGACACAATCCGCAAAACTGTAGACAAACATTGGTATCGAGTGAGAAAGACTACGACGAGGTCCTTAAGATATACGAAAGAGAGACGGTGTTGTGATTATGAATCAATGAATCATATTTAGACAAAGAATAATAAGAATATAAAAATAAAAATAGCAAACATATTTCAATGGCCAAGGTGAACTTTAGTGAACTTGACAGGGTAAATGTACAGATAATACAATTGAAATGTAAAGTTCACACGATATCGGGGATTGGCTGGTGCTCTCGGCCAATCACAAGTGACTTTGCGTGACTTGAAATCGTATCAAATCCATGTGTGTTGTTGAAAACGTCATCATAACAATAGACCCTTTCCCAAAATGGCGGCCGAAAATTGAAATGAGTTAATCTTAAAAACCAATACCAGCACTGGAAAGAGCACCTTTACATTAGTAACCTTTTAAAAAATCATTATATCTGGTGTTATATCAGCCGAGAAAACTTTAGATAAACTAAAGTTTTCTCCGCCGAGGATGTTACTGAAAACAAGGAATGGGAATGACCGGGAATGGGGAATTGGGAATGGCAGACTGAGACGAGCGATCAGTGGTATTTTTATTCGTAATCGTATGAAAAATGTTTGATAAAAAGGAGAGTGATAACCCGAGTATTACTTTTAGTATTTAGATTAATGTTCACCTAATTCATGACTGTTCTTGTCGCGACTAGCATTGATTTTCCGTCTGTAAAGTAATAACCTTAAACTCAACAAAAGATTGGAAATAACAGTTTTATTCAGTGTTCATCAACGTTGATAATATTCAATGCACTAAGTAGTTGTATTGAATATCTTAGGCTTGTATCAGTCTCTTTCATATATGACTAAAGAAAAAAACAATTAACATTGTTAACTTTATACACAAGCTAGACTGTTATTATAAGA